AAGCATGTGATTCACCTAAACTAGGATGTTCAACAGGCAAATATTGTTGACGAATATTCCATGCTTTATGATAAAATTCTAAAGCATCAGAATATATCTTTTGTTCTTGATAGATAATACCCATATTATTATAACACAAAGCTACATCCGGATGATTTTCACCAAATGTTTTTTTCCAAATTTTTAATGCTTTTTCATATGATTCTAATGCAAGTTTATAATCACCTATCTTTGAATAAACAACAGCAATACTATTATAGCTCGTAGCAATATTTGGATCATCTTCTTTCGTTATTCGCATATCGTTTTCAAGGGATTTATTGTACCAAATTAAACTTGAATTATAATCGCCTTTCCTTTGAGTTACTTCACCTAATGCATGATAACATCGACTTATATCTTCATGATCTTTAGGTAGTTGATTAAGTATATAACAATAGAATTTTTCTGCATCATCCAATTTACCCATATGTTCTAGAATAAAACCAAAAGAAAGAGGATCTCTATCAACAATGTCTAATTCATTCTTTTTTTCTTGAATAAATGATTGCAATGGATGATCATTATTTGAACATAAAATTAACTGAATATTCCATATGTCATTAATATCATGATCAATACGAACAAGTCGAAAGATTGAACCAATCATAAATAAAACTTCTTCTTTATTTCGAAAATAACTGTAAGAAGTAATATTGCTAAAATATTTAATATCATTCGATTGAGAATTAGCAATGATTTCAAAAAGTACTTTTTCCATATTATCTGACGATGTCAACGACGAGAGAAAAGCTTGAGTTTGTTCATAATGAGGAGTAGTTAAAAGAAATGAATTTATCGAAATAAATTCTCCAGTGAATTTTGTCAATAATTCCAATTCTTCTTTAAACATTAATTGAGCTCGATAAACACGCATGGAAGATCGAGATTTATTCTTTATCAATTGTTTTCTAATATCATAAATAAAAAAACGAAAAAGTAATAATAAATTGATATTTTGCATTCGAATTGCTTTATTCATTAGTCGATAAAGAAATGAATGTCTAGTATACCACCATAAAGATCGTTCACACAGATAATCTTTTTCGAATTCCTCTACAATACTTAATTCATTAGGATTATTTTTATATTGTTGTTTACATAATGCAATTAGTTCATTTTTATCATTTGAAGATGATTGCATACAAATTAAACAATCGATTAACATTTGTGAATAAATAAAATCAGCATTCAAATTAGTTGACAAGAGTTTTTCATCAGTCTTTCTAGACCTAAAAAAATTTATTGATAATATTTCATCAAGATTATAAAATTGTCGTTGGTTATAATCTGTTTGAACTCGTTGAACAAGTTCACTTCGTCGAACAATTGCTCCTTTTACCTAAACAAAAAACATAATATTACAAAGAATTTTTGTTTTGCCAATCGAATTGCAACTAGAAAACATGTCCCAATGGTTAGTCTGGTGGACTTTAGAATGTTCTGGAAATTTCAGCCTGAAGAGACATGTTTTTCTTGAGATATTGAATACCTCTAAGCAATCAGATGTCACAACGAAAAATAACAAATCTCAGTGTTTTTAAGGTTCGATATCTCAAGAACAACGCATTTTTTTCAGCTGAAAATTTCATCGTATTCTATAATTCACACAACCTACCAATAGACAAAAATTTAAGATGAAAGTTCGTAATTCGATTATTTCACAAATATCTTGCTAGAGTTTAAAAATTAAGTAACATTATAATAAATTGGGAAGAATAACCTATGAAGACGAACCCTTACCCTTGCAAGTCCAAGGTATCCTTCTACCAGTATGTCACAGGAATCTTAGGGTATTCTTTGAGTTATTTAGCACTTGACTACAAAATGCTTCTTAATGTTCAATCTAATAACTCGTTGAAAAACTTTTCATAGAATGCCGTAGCAACTGGGCAAGTATCCAGTATCCAATCAAGATCCTCAACCATATAAGTAATAGGTTGCACAGCTGACAACAATTACAGTACATGAGGGTTTTGAACTAACAAGGGAACGTTTCTAAATGTCAAATCGTTTTTGAGTCGAAACAATGTGCGTCATGTAGGTTCTAATGAGCTATGAATACTCTGAAAAGGATTCAGGCTAATAGTTTATATCTGCCACAATATAGTCTTTTTTAGAGAAATGCCATAGTCCTTCTGAGGAAAAGCTGAGTGTTGAATTTCGACTCGAAACTTTGCATAAAGACAAGTCTTAATGAGAATTATTTATTGTAAAAGTTTCAGATCTTTTAATTTCTTCTATCCTAGAATACGGCTGAAGTAAAAGCATGATTTTCATGCAACTCTTATAAAACGCAATTTCCGATTTTCTCATTTCAGAACAGGTATAATAAAAATAATTTGAAAACTTTCATAATAAACTATCCTTGTTCAAACTTAACTGTGTGCAATGTTTCAAGTCGAAAATTAGTTCTTCTGTGAAGGAGGGATGGGGACATGGCATTCTGCTAAAAGATACAGCATCTTGGCAGTAGTAAGCTAAGGACTTGAAATCTTTTCATTGTATTCATAGTCTCGATGCAACAGCGATTTGACACTTAGAAACCTTCCCTCATCAGTACATCCACGCGACATTGGATAGGAAAAGATGATTAAAGAAAGATTCGAATAATTAACCTTGTTAAGATTTTTCATTGATTGTTCATTTATATTTTTATCATTCGAATGAATATAAATGGAAGTAATTTGTTGAAAATGTGCAATTTGAGGAATAAATTGTTGACTTAATTTTTTTTTAATAACTAAAATAACTCGATCATCTTTCGATAGTGAACGAATATATTCAAGACATTGTTGTTCATCTTCAAATATTAATAAATAATTGATAATTGTTCGAAGTTGTTGTCGAACTTCATTTTTCATCGAATCACCAAGCCAAATTAAATAAAATGTTTCGAGATTTTCAACTTCTTCGATTGTTCGAATAGCACTCATTTTTCTTTACCTACAATATCAAACAAGTATGAATGTTTCTATGATCATTTATATAAGCACTTCAAATTTTTTTCATATGTGCATGTTTTCTTTTTCTTCTATAATTCTTGATCACAGTTTGAATAAAAAACGAGCAGAAAAATGTGTCATTCATTTGTTGGACAATATTATTTTATTGCCTACCTTAACAGAACGTAGTTGCAGAATAAGAATAAAAATGAATATACATTCAATCTTTTTTTCTTTTACTTGGTGAAGAAAGAAATCGAAAGAAAAAAAATATTTGCATGAGTCAATGCAAAAAAAAATCGATTTATTTCGTACATTGATAAGATTTTAAAAATAATCTTATATCTTTTGCTGTTATGTTACATGAAATCTTAACTTATCTTTTATTTGAGTTCGATTTTATTGGACCATATTTTAAGTTGAATAGTAATGGGAATTAATCAAACTTTATTTTAATTTTGTTAAATACATAAAAGTAATAAAATTTATATGAAATGCAAATTTAAATATAGAAAGTTCCCATTGAAATAAGTCCTTAAATATACGGATATCTTTAGAAATTACAGACACATATGGATATGGTAAAAGCTGAAAAAGAAAAGATAGAGTTCAAAATGAATGTTACACGAATATTTTTAATTACTTTGATTTTTACTTATAAACAAATACTTAACGATTAAATATCAAGATAGATATCGTTATCTTTTACAAATAAAATCAAGGTAGTCATGAATATTCGTAGTTTTTACAAGTACTCAAGTTTCCTTTGACGACGCTGATATTGAATTATAAAGCATCTTTTATAAGTAAAAGTCAACGTCAAGATGAATATCCGTGTCCATAAAGCAAAGCTTATGACAGATGAAAGCAAAACACATAATTTTAGAGTGGGTGTCCATGGACGTCCGCATCGTTTAGGGGTACAATGAATATGTGAATGCCATGTAATGCTCCTATGTGATTTTCTTGAAAAATTAAGAATCACCTGCAACCAGTGGTGGCCGGATTGGGTAAGTTCTGAGCTTTTATAAGAGTGTAGATTTTGGTCTTTCTACGCCCCCAACTACATCTATATTTGAATATCGATGGAAAGTATTGTATTGTATAATTGTCATTCCTCATAGCATTTCTAGTATCCCGAATTTCTGAATATAAGATAACACTGTAGTTGTTTAAAATTTTTGGGTAAGTTAATGGTTAATGGCATATATTTCGTTTGAAACATTGGAGTTGATTTACTGTCTGAATATCAACAAATTCCTGAGTTTTGTGAGTGATGCTGTATTTTTGGGAGTTGCATAAGTCCAGAACTCATGAAGGGCAAGCTTGTCTCTTTTTTGGTAACATCTTTATTTCTTTTCTAAGAATATTGATTTGAACATTTTCAGAAAAATAAACTTTATAAGAAAACTTTTTTCAAATACGTAAATCTAATAAAAGAATGGTGATATGAAATATGTAGCCAATACTCCAGCTTGTATTAAGATGTTCAGCAATATCGAAGAACTAAGAAATAAGAATTTCTTAAGATGCTGAGGAATTCTGAACAAGAGCTATGACAAATCCTCGGAGAAACGAAAATTGGTCGTTAGTTTTCTCAAATTTTTGCTATTCATAGAAACCTAAGTGATGTTATTTCTGCAATAGTTTTCATGTCCACATATTCATGTTCATAAATTCCTGTGAAGGAATTCCTATTTCTCAGTTCTTGCACATCCTTCAACGAGTAATAATAATTCCAGTAAACTTTTACATTGATGTAAGAGAAATTGAAGTATTTGCTGTTATTAATTATTGATTGAATTCAATTTGAGCTTTAATATAAAGCTTCTTTTTGTAACAAATGAATAACAATTAGATAATAAAGATATTTGTTCTTGTTTTTATTTCTTCTTATTTATTTATTTTCTTCTTGTTGTTTTTTCTCACGGTAAAAAATAGCAACAAGTCCATCAAATTTATATATGATGTTCAAACAAAAAACAAAGAACAAAACGAGTAATACTCGTCGACTGTTTACGAAGATTTTGTTGCTACAGTTGTTTTTGTTTTCGTTGTTGTAGCATTTCCAACCTTTTGTGTTTTTGTTGTTTTAACTACGTTCACACCTGATAATCGTTTTGCTTTTAATGATGCATGTGTACGTTGTTTACGAGCTGCAGCCTGAAAATAAAAAAAAAAAAAAAAACAAAAAAAAAATTAATAAACTTATAAATAAAAATCTTTTCTTTTTTTGTATTACCTTTGATTCAGCTGTTGTACCTGTTCGTCGTCCTTTAAGTTGTGTTAAAAGTGTTTTACGTTTTTGTACAGTTGAATATGGATTAAGTCGTGACATTAAACTAATACTCTTCAATGGATTCTTCTTAACTTTACGACGTGCTTGACGTTTACTAATATAATTAAATTTAAAAAAAGTATATAATTAAAATAAAAATTAAATATTTATACACTTACATTGGTGCACGAAGTACACTTTGAATTTCGAATGCTTTAAGTAATCGTCCTAAGTCACTATTTGTCATCATTGGTTGTGGAAGACTAAAAAACAAAATCAAAATGTTGAAGAAGTATATTTGATGAATAATATGTAAAAAAAAAATTCAGCCAAGTGTCTTCTTCTATTCATGTTGCATTTTCTTTTGTCGGTGTGTGTTACGAAAAAAACAACAAACCGTAGATCGAAATGCTTAAATTTTTTATTTTTATTTGTTTCTAAATATTATAGGAAAATGTTTACATTTAGATTGTGATAGGTTCCGAGAATGTAGTGTTTTTTCTTTAGCATTATTTGAAAATTATGTTCGACAAAAAATAAAATTCTCCAATGTGGATCGATGAGGCATTAAAAACATAAGAATATATTAATCATCTTACTTGAAATCAACCTTGAGTTGAGATTTTTTGCTCCATGTACCATAGAGAGCATCGAGTTTTTTGAATGCTGATTCAGTCCAAATAACAAATCGACCAACATGGCCACCCGGTGCCAAACGAAGTAAATTAAGACGTTCAACATTTAATAATGATACACCTAAAATATTCATAGAAAACTTTCGATTTTCGATTATGTCAGTCGGCATGGTAGACGAGAAGATCTCGGAAAGAGTATAAAATCGTAAAAAAATTAAATAACGGAATTTCGTGTATAGATTGAAAAATGATTGTTTCCTACAAAAACCGAGTTTGCTTGAAAATTCAATATCTCGACAAACGAATATTCTCAGATTCATAAGACCTATCCTATAGTCAAAATTTCATTATTTAACTTTTTGGTGAGTACCTAACGCTACATCGAAAACTTAGTAAAACAATCCTAACTTAGCTCCATAGGTACGAACTCCATTATTTTTCTAGTCTTACCGAGACCTTCTTATAAATCGAGTATGAGCTCAAACGACGAGTATCAATTCGGATAGTTTTCTCGACGATGACTACGTTCTTCGATACGTATCGATTATATCCTATTCTCAAACTTAACTCAACTAGTCATAGAATGTCATTGAACAAGTCACAAAACTGCTATTTGTCTTGGATCAATCGTCCGATAGCATGTTGACTAAGTTATGGCATACACTTGCCCTTGTGAATGACCAATGTGTACAGGGAGCTCAAGAACTCTATATCAGACCAACACTCCATGCAAAGCTACAGTTAGTATTAGAAGCATGCAAAGTTTTAAATATGGATAATTTTACATCAAAATTTTTTGGAAAAAAATTCTTTCTAAAATTTGTTTGTTCAAAATGAAGAAGAAATATTTCATAAACAAAAAAAGAAATATTTCCGAAGACGTAAACAATTCTTTTATTTTTAATTTTCCTCTCAGTTTTTGGAGATACATTTTACATATAATATGTTCTCCCAAGATAAGAGGCATGAAAAACAAAAACAAAATAATATCAATAAATTTTAATTTCAAATAAATATACCTACCGGGTATGTTACGAAAAGCTTTTTTTAACACCATTATCTTTATCATAGACAACCACTGGGCCACGTTTCATAACTGTTCGACGATTACGCATTTTACCTTTACCAGCACGAGTATGTTTTGATGCATAAACTTTAAGAATATCGGACCAAGCTCCAACTTTACGTAAAAGAGCAACTGCATCTTTGGTTTTTTTCAAATCTTGTATTTTATCGGTTAAAACCAATGGGATTTCTGGTACAGTTTCAATGCTATGACCTAATCAAAACAAAAAAAAAACATTATAAATAAGCATAAAGAAAAAAAATCAATAAACCTTTAGCTAAGACAAGTGATGGAACACCCGAACCAGCAATAGCACTAACAAGTGCATAACGTCGTTGTTTTAAATTTATTTTTCTATGCCATTTACGCCAAACTTTTAATGGTGCATACATTCGACCACCACGACACATATTACCAAAAGCACCTTGACCAGATCGATGCGTACCACCACCACGTACACGTGGAATACGAGCTACAGCACGGCCAGTACCCCATGATTGAGCTGATGTTTGTTCACCTAAATAAAACGAATAAAAGAAAAAAGTAGAAGAAAAAAACAATAATAATTCTATTATTTAAACACACCAGCTTTGTCACTAACAGCATGTGCTTGTCGTTTGTTGCGTCTCATTTGATCATGAACAAAATTGACAATATCTGTACGAATTGGTGCACGAAAAACGGCAGGTAATACAACTGAACTTCCTGTTGATTGACCTTTTTCATCGTAAACAGTAACAAGAGGTCGCGAAGCGGCCTTAAAAATAATAGATTTAAATTTAAATTTAAAAAATCAAATGAAAACCAAAAATAAACACAAACCATGTTCACTAAGTCTTCTTGATTTTAGGTTGAATTCAAAAGCAAATGGATACGGGTGAATATTGTCGACCCCCACAGAAAAAAATGGACTTCTTTAAATAAATATTGGATCGATTGTTTACTTTAATTACTATAAAAAATTCTTTAGAAAAACTTCATTCAAAGATAGAATTTAATATAAATTTGTATGTTATCTTAGGTTTTTTCTTAATGCATTAATGCTTTAGATATAGAGGTTAAGCTTAAGATGTCAGTAGTTCATAGAAATAACCAATCGAAAGTAGCATACCAATACATACACAAATTATTGTTTATGAAAGACTTTGTGTATTGAAAACAAAGTATCAAATGATGCTTTGATAAAAAAGAATTTTTGATTATTATCGTCCAATGTGATTGAAAATTGTTTCGTCAGATATGTCTACCCAATTTGACGTTAATAGTAATGATACGTAAGTTAAACAAAAAAAACTTTATGATAAAAAATAAAGATAAATAAGATTTTTATTCATCTTTTAAAAAGCTTCTTTGAAATTCATTTTCGAAATGTTTAATATAGAATAAAAGAGTAGCTTTATTGTAAAAATTACATAGAGTGGATCGATGTGCTCTAGTCACATCATAGAAAAAATCGGAAAAAAAAGTTGTCTTCTGGACGACTATCCAATTTCAACCAAACATGCTCGTACCAGAAAAGGTTGGACTCTACGGGCTCTTCTTTTATACAATAAATACCTTAAACATTTACTAAGAAATGAGTGTCTAATGCTTTATTCAACTAGCTTGCAGAACTTGACGAGGAAAGTGCTAAACCGATTAATCACTTTTAATTGTATTTTTTGGAGATCAATGTCGTGATTCCCCTTAGTGTTTTAATCAGTGTGAGGATCGAAGGGGTAGCACTCATCCACGAATCAGATTCGCAGCTACTGCAGTGTGTGCCTTACCAGAGTTGTAAACCACCCCTAACGAACAGCAGGAAAATTCCATTTTCGAATGTTGGCTTGAAACTTAGCAGAGAGACGGAGCTTAATGAGAATAATTTATTGTGAAATTGTCAAGTATTTCGATCTGCTTCTATTCTCATTAAGAACAATGGAAAGATCTGAAAATTTCAAGTCAATATTTGAAAATGAATTTTCTTACCGTTTCTGAATGGAATAACAGTATTAATTTAAAAAATACTGTAGCAATGCAATATTTCTGTAGTAATAAGCTAAGAGTCTGAAATCTTTTCAGGATATTCATAGCTCATTAGGATCTTATATTGTTAACTCAAATGTAATCCAATCAGTTGAGTGTAAATGATATCCAACATAAGAAGTCAAGCGATACCTCACTGATAGATTATCTCCAAAATTAATTCAACATGAAATGTTAAGCATTATATAAAATGCTTAATTCTGCCTACGAATTTGCTAGAGTCCGACCTGAGTTGGTCCGGATCGCGATAAGTTGAACGACGTCAAGTTTCACATAAGACAAACAGTAATTTTAAACGAGATAACGACTTTGTTCTTCTCAATTTTTTAGAGAGTTCGTTGAATTCTCTAATCCATATCGGATTCAGATATGCACCAATTCGAGTTACCTGCATGTCAGCCTAAGACTGAATCTGATATAGGTAGAAGTAGTAAATAATTAAATTTAATCTACTCTTTTATTTTATACAAGACATCGAATATATGCACAATAACTTAATCACTTTACTTTTCTAGTCTATTGCCGACTTCTACATCTTTTCTTATTGATTCATCATCATTTTGGCTTATATTTCGTATTAAATTACTTATCTTAATTCCATGTATACTTGCATGTATTATATTGTTTCTTTTAATAATTTATTTACTAAAGTATTTCATTGATTATTGTCGAAAATCTCGTCAAACATTAACAATTAATACACATACAACGATAAATGATAAATGATATTTCGTTTGTTATTTTTTTTGTTTGTATTTTATCCGGTGATTATCTCATTTTGTGTATATATTTATGAATAGAAATAGATTAATTTTGCCATCGAAAACAAAGTCTTTTTTTTTCTCGTTTATTATAATTTGCAAAAGTTTCCATGAAAATTTCCGTTGTTGATTTTGATTTTGAAAAATCAATCAAGAATAATTATTCCATGTTTTTGCGTATCATATAGGAAATTATGTTTTACTAAATTTTCAAAAATAAAAAATGACTCGTTTTCAGTCATAAAATGATGAATAAAGTTAAGTTTCATCATTTTGAATTAGTATGAGATCCATAATATGTACAAGATTTCTTTATTTACTAATTTTTTATTATATAGAATAGAAATTTTTGAATCTTTTGAAAATTCGAACTTAAAATAATTCATCTCATAATGTTATCATTCATGTTAACATTGAATACCTTACCCGACGAAAGATAAAATTTTACTTAAGACTGCCCCCCCCCTCCCCCTCAAAAGTAGATTTTCGCCAAAGAACATCCAAGTCAACTGAAATTTCGAGAATATGTTGATGCTACAGTGGAGAGTCTATGATAAAATTTTCAGCCCCAAATCTGCAGGTTTAAGGGAGATATNAGTACTCCAAAAATAGTCAAAAAAATGCAAAAAAAAATTGTAAGCGACAGTTTATGGACCTAAAAGGGAACTTTTTTTAAAAAAAGGACAACGTCATGCCCTGCGTCTTGATGTGCTCATTCAAACAAAAAAAAATTTATGAAATTGGACGAGCCATAACAGAGCAGTTTTGGATGTGCTTTTCCGAAAATAACAATTGAGAAAAAGCGAAAAACATTTTTGGAATTTTCAAAAAACAGCTGATTTTTTGAAAAGAGGTTTCCAGAAATCTTGAAAATTTTTAGGAAAAAAAGAAGTACCAAGGAAAAATTTTTAGCATTTTAGAAAGAGCAGACTATGGGCTATCTCCACATGCCTTTATCTCAATTTTGGTCATCCGGACGAAAATAGACTTTTTTTTGAGGGGGGGACCTTAAGTTTTAGATAGAAGAAATCTAAATATTCATTCAAAAAAAAAACTCTTCACCTAGTCTTAGAAAAAAACGTGAAAAAAATGTTTTCCTGTCTAAGAGAAAATATAATGATAAATATCTATTCTTTAATATAATTTGGAATTTTATTTTATTTAATTCATAAGAAATTTTACTAAAATTTATTTCAAATTGAATATTTATTCGTATTCCAGATCAGCATCTCTATTAAGTTCATCAAAGACTACCGTTGATGGACTCTTTCAAACGCACTGGATTCAAAATTATTACTTATCGACTTTCAACTATTATTTAAAAGTACTATCATCAATTGTGTTCGATGGTATTCAAAACAAACATTTCCAGTTTTTCGAGCTCATCAATCTTTTATAAATATACTCTTTAAAAAGTCGTTATTATAGTCAATTGTTTTGGTTTTGTCACGTCCTTGTTTAAAGCTTAAACCTGGTTCTTAATTTTTTAATTTGAATTACTCACAAAAAAGACAAGCTTATGCTGTTTTTTTTAATTGAATCCCTATTTACGATGGACTAAAAAAAATACTCTTTGATATAAAAATAAATAAAACATTTTACGCAAGAAATCGCTAATAAAATGTTGTATACAACAGGAGATATCATTGTTGAGAAAGACATCTATTGTATGGGTATTTTCAAAACGTGATGCAATAAAATAAAAGGAAATGAAACTAAGTAACATTAGTAGACAGAAATACGAAGGTGTTCAAATCGCTTCATATTTAGATTGTTAAGACAATAATTAGTATCAAATATCTACATTGAATATACAGTTAATGTTGGTTAATTTCATTGTCTTCAACTATTATGAGAAATATTAGATTTAAATATTGAATATCTATCATATGATATTTTTCTTTTACAAACGATTTGAAAATGTTTACATAGTCTCGTGTATATAATATATTTTGAAATAGAGATTTGATGATTCAATGTGAATACGTTCTTGCATACGATTAAGAATAATAATCATATTATAAATAAATATTCATGAAAGAAATCATAAATTTTGTTCAAGTTTGCTAATTATAGGATCAAATTACTCAGATTGATTAGAAGTCTCTTTGGTTCAAGTAAACGTTCAATAAGTCAAGCATTCATTTTCATTTTATCAGACTATAATTCATTTCATAATAAATCCCTCTACATTTCCCTTAGAAACTGATATCTGAAAGTATTTGTATGAATAAGCAAATCAACATAATAATTTTTTTTGAATATCAAATTTCGAGAAAGACAGTTATTATTCTATCATAAAGAAGACATAAGCTTAAAAATTCTTCATTTTTATTTTTGATCATAACGTAATCGAACCATAGAGAGGCCGAATCGAATCGAGTTTTACTGGTTCGATTCGTTTTCGGCCTTTGATGAACAACATAATTTATTTATACTTATCAGTGATGAAGTACATTATATTCAATAACGAATAAATATCCATAATAAATCAAAAATTAAACATATATAACCTTGATCTTGGTACTATTAACAATGAACTTTTGTTTTTTGATATATTTGTATTCTTGCACAGAAACGTAAGCCATTTCAAAAAAAGATGCTTGTACCAACGAGAGTTGCAATTCTTTTTTTTTTTTGTGAAATTGATTAGAACTGTCTTCCTTTAAATTCAATTAATTTTTCTCCTTCATATACATTACAGATTTGTTTGAATAATTACACAAGTTGAGAAAACAAATTTTTTCGACTATGAAAACTTTTCTTTGGTTGATAATGTTTTCTGGATTTTTAATTTATCAAAAAAATTTGATAGATGTGTGTTTGTCGATGAAGATGAAAAAATTTTTTTCTATGACCTAAGCAGATGTTGTTTGAAGCGTCTTCCTTTTCTTTACGAAAAGGTAACCAGACTTAAGCCTTACCAAATTTAATCTAGATTGTCTTTGAATTTTTTCAAACTTCGAGACTCTAACGCCTATGATCAGAGGGTTTGATAATTTGATACAATACGAATTATTGTGCGTCTTGCTTAATCAAAGTGACATCTATGAATATTGTTTAAGGTTTGTCTTTTGCTATACCAGACAGTTAATTCTCGTGTCATATGTCTGCAGAAGACTGTATCATGTAGATATTTCGTCTTTCTACAAATTTTTATATTTTATTCAACAAAAAAAAAGAATTCATTTATTCAATTCTCTTCAATCTAATATCTCGAAAAAGATGAATCGACGTTCATTAAGTGCTGAGTCTTTACGTTCATCGAAAATACCTGTTCGTAAATCTAAATATGCATCATCAATATCGAAAGTCTATGATCGATGGACAATAATATGTTTAGTTATTGCATCAATAAATATATTGAATGCCTTATGGATGTTAATTGCACCTGAACATTGGTATTATAATTTACCAGCTGGTGTACCTGAATTCGGTCCATCGAATATTCATTTTATACGTGATATTGGTTGTATATTTTTTCTTCTTGGTATTGGACTTATTTTTGCAGCATTTTATCATTCCTATCGGTTACCATTATTTACAATGAATACAGCATTTTACGTATTACATATGTTAGTACATGTACATGAAGTTGTTAGTGGACGAATACGTTTAAGTATGTTTTGGGTGGATTTACCTGGCGTTTATATTCCAGCAGTTGTTTTTTTTATATTGAATATTTTTATGATAAAACAATTTCAAAATAAAAAGCGTGATACGATCTATTAGACAAGGAAAATTTAAATACTTTTGAAGATAAATTTCATTATGACTATGTTTTTTTTTGCTTGAAAAAAATGACTTATTAATACATCTTGTACTTTTTTTTTTCTTTTTTAATAGATTTTCTTGTTTGAATTTGATACTGATGAAAACAACCTTCAGATAATTAATTTCAATTTTTCTAGTAGGTCAAACAGAAATAGTATTTATTTCTTATCTATGATGTAAAGATTAAACAATATTTTGCTATATTATGGTCAAAGAATTACTTTATTTTGTTATTGTTTTTATTATCAAAAACAAATTATTCTTCGAATTTTTCATGTTCAATTTATATTTTTATACTTTTTTATTAAAAAAATGACGACATATCTTGATCATTTACCAGTAGAATTACTTTATATGATATTTCAATTTATGTCTAATTGTGATGTTATATGGACATTTTTTGATGTTAGTCCTTATTTAAATGCTGTGTTAGACAATTACAATTGGCATACATTAAATTTTAAATCAATTTTAAAAATGCGCTTTGATTTTATTTGTAATCATTTGAATATACAACGAGTTATATCATTAACTTTATCAGATGATTTAAAAACACCCGGTCAAGTTGAACTTTTTTTTAATCGATTTAATCTTCGAGATTTTATTAATCTTCGTTCGCTTACATTGTTATCTATAACTAATGAAGTTATATATTCAATATTATCCGATCTACCTAAACTTAAATATCTTACTTCATTAATTACGGAATGTCGATCATCTCAACCATTATTACTTGGTCAAATATTGACTCAATTGAAATCTCTTGAAAGTCTTTCTGTTTCACATGGTGATATATTTGATCATAATGTTGCCTTGCCATTACGTAATTTAAAAGTATTATATGCTGGTACTTGTAATTTTTTGGAGTTACGTCGTTTACAAATGATTGCACCTTCACTCGTTTCACTTACAATTAGTCTTCAAGCTAATCATCAATTACAATTATTGTCAAACTCAGATATATGGTCATCTTTAGAAAGACTTAATCTTACTTTAAATCGTAAGAAATGTTTATTCATTTGCTAAAAAAAAGAAAAATAGTTACTTTTCAAATTTTTAAATCTATTTAATCTATTTTCGATATTCTTAAACATTTGATAATAATCAATTTTTGTTCTAAAAGTATAGCAGTGAAGAAATTAGGAGACGTCGATTTTTCTGTGATTTTAATGAGAAAATTCTGCCAACTGATTAAAAATTCTTGAGTTCATATTTTTTCTTGTAAGTAGGATTCAAAAAGCCTATAAGAAGGTTAATTCCTCCTAGCTCTTACTGATTGTGACATGAACATGTGATATCTAGATCAGGAAGTATGCATACATGGCTTATTCTACTTTAATGTCAATCTATTAAAATATTCATACTTAATCTCATTTTTCTCTAGAAGTCATATCATCAGATGAATACAACAATGTAAGTTTTACAACATTTTCATGTCTTACAGCATATTGACCCTTTAAAATGCATGAAACATTGCCAACAACTATGAATATTTTTAATATTAATTTCGCCTTTGGAATGATCCAGTATTGTAGTTCAAGTGTAGAAAGCCATGTATGTGTACCTACCATCTTCAACATATAATGTTCGCAGTAGTAGTGAAGCTAGAGGATGGCTGGATTCTCTTCCGATATGAAATAATCCTATATCGTAGGCAAAAGATATACCTGCTTTTTAGCATAAAATGAGAACTGAATTTCCCTACAAGTGTTTTGTTTTTGGCTTCACCACTAGTTCGCAATTCAATTAGCGAGATCATTGAGAGTAGAGCCTTTTAAAGGTTTTCTAGTTCCATTGATCGTTGATTACGAGCTCAATTGATGAATATATTATAAAGACTTTGTTAGCTATAAATAATTTTTTTATTAATAGGTGAAACAACAACAACATTTACTGAAATTCAACGACTTCTTTTTCGTTTTTATAATCTAACACATTTAACATTGAATATACGCGGATCAGCAGATAATCTAGCAGATGGACATCGTTGGGAAACATGTTCTACAATAATTCATCTTCGTAAATTTAATTTTATTATTGAATTTACAGATTCATTCATGGATGATAATCGAACAGCTAATGAAATTCTAAAAAGTTTTTCTACACCTTTTTGGCGAGACATTAAAAAATGGTACGTAGCTATAACAACACATAATGTATATACAATTTCTTGTTTTGATGATCAATTATTTATTGTTCCAACTACTTCATCACCTTTATCTACATCATCTGATAATCATTGGTTTTATTCAAAAACTAAACGAATAAAAATTGATAAAAATATTTCATCAATTAATCTTAATCGATTTTATAATCTTGAACGATTGGATGTATTTGATGAAAATAAACTTTTATCAATAGATAATATTAATCAATTTATTCATCTTCGTCATTTAATAATTCATCAAGCAATATCAAATACAATACTTGGTAATATACTTAAACATAATTCAAATATTGATCATCTTACGCTTTCACAAAATAATTTTCCTCAATTATTTCCATTGGAAAATATTTATTATTTACATATTGAAAATATAATAAAATTTACAAAGCATGCACAAATTAAAGAACTTGGTCGAATATTTCCTTGTGTTCAACGATTATTTATTCATGTTAATTCAATAAGATTAATGTGTCAAATCATTAATGATTTTCATCATCTTGGAAATGGTGTATTTCAATTTAATGATATAATTAAACCAATATCAAAAGAATGGTTAAAAGAAAATACATGTCTTAATAATAAAACATGTTCATTTACATGTCGAAGTGAATCAAATAGGTTTTTAATATGGATTAATAATTCGGTTAGTATTTCAATATTTTTTTTTCGGAAATTATTTATATTTAATTTAATTTAGGTAGAACCAATTATTCATTTAAAAGATAATATTGCGAAGAATTTTAATTTTATTCAAGACCAACGATCAGATAAATGCTCATTACAATGAATATTTTATTCATTTTTGTAGATTATTACAAATATTTTATGGAACTAAATTTGTTTTTTGTTTAAATCAATTAATTCTCTGACTAATTGATTTATTATTTTCTTTTATAATATTTAAATATAATCTTTTCTTTTGCTACAAAAAAAAACAGAATCATTGACAAAAAAAAAATGAACGAATATAGCAAATGCAGTCGTTAGTCTCATAGTTTGAACACAAACAGAACATGTTGATCTTTGATCGTAAAGACTAATCGAGACTTGATCGGCTCTTATACAAAGAAACCAAAAAGTGAACATAAAAAACAAATCTTATGATGCTAGGTCTCTCATTCAGCAGCTCAATGTTGCCTATACCACTAATATCTTTGGTTACTAGGAAAAAAGCCAATGTTTTCATCGAAAATCTTTTGCATTAAGCTCAATCGACGTCGAATCGTTCTGTTTACGATCAGGACTTACCAAGCTCTATGGAAAGTCAGAATATCAGGCAAAAGGATTAAAATTTATGTACATTTTGTCTAGTAGCAGGGCTTCTTGCGACTAGTGTATATGTCAAAAAAACGTACCACGCTATTGAGTTGATTAACCATGGCAAAAGATATAATTCAATTTGAGAGCAAAATAAATAGCATATTCGGAATCATCGCAAAAAACTGCACCAAATCGAATATTTTTTGGAAAAAAAAATTTCCTACCAGAAATCAACCTGGAGGGAACTGGGACGAAATTTTTGAAGAAATAAGCGCTAAGAGGACCACAGGCCAATTTTTTGAAAACAAATATTTTTCCAAAGAAGTATTCAATTTGATGCAGTATTTTTCGCTGATTCCGAATATGCTATTTATTTTGCTCTCAAATTGAATTATAATCACGAAAATTGCTAAATACGAATGCAATTTTAAGAATTTCGTCACTAGTACGGTGCTTTACTCATTTTTTCTTGGTTTATCACTTTCACTGATCTTCTCCAGAATGATCATTGTTGTTTAAAATGATATCAGAAATCAAATGAGAATTTTGTGTGCTCTTTGGGCGCATGAACAACGAATAGAATCGTTATAAATAGACTTTGATCTAACTCTAAATGCCGATCAGATCGGACAAGTAGTGCATAAAGCAGAAAAAATATTTCAACTTTTGATGTTTCGCTGTTCTCAAAAAAAACCAGTCACTGATTTTTTCATTCTCGTTTCCTCATACCATATCTTGAGAATTCAATAGGTTAGGAAGAAAGGCCTTCAAGAATAAATCCTTTTCAGCTTGTTCATACATAATATTTATAGTCAAAAGATGGAGCATAAAATGTTTGAACAACTAGGAAGGTTTCCTTGTAAGACTCGATTTGTTTCATCAAAGTCATAATGACTTCGCTTTGACCAAAAAGCTATCGATAATACTTACGAAAGAGAGAAAGGAGAATAGGAGAGAAACGAAAGAGGGAGAAAAAAGCAGATGAAATGTGCTTTACGTGTGCCAAGCTTGATCGTTCGACTAAACAATAAATATCAAGTAGCTGTTTGATTTTGTGTGTTGTATCGTGATGACATCTTCATTGAACAAATCCGTTCGTAACTCATTTCTGAAAAATGTAGATTATTTTATGGGTTAACCCAAAGGTGACTCCTGAGTTAACCGACAAAATCTACCTCAGACTTATTATCGATGCGCTAAGATTTAGAATTATTCAAATCGTCTGTCCAGTAGAAATGTCGATATTTTGATTTTATTTTCATTGGATGTGAGTAGGTGTTCGTGTTGACTTTGATCATGTTTAAGATAGAAGTCATTCTTACCCACAAATTCGCACACCCACACAAACCTATGAATAGGACAATGATACTTTATTTTTCGTTGATTGAAAATAAAAATGAGTTGATGGTTTTTTGTTTTCTTGATTTCCTTCATTGTAACCATTTTGTTAATTGAATCATAATCTTGTTTAAATATTCTTCAGATTTAACTGTTGTTAAAGTACAAGAGAAGTGTGTGCATGTGTTGTTAC